AAACTATAAGAAAAAAGCAAAGTCGCTACCTACGTCAAAAGTTAAACGGACGTTTTGCTGGATTATAACATTTCAACATGAGTAAAGTTTAAACTATAAGAAAAAGCAAAGTCGCTTCCTACGTCAAAAGTTCAACGGACGTTTTGCTGGATTTTAACATGAATATTTCAACATGAGTAAAGTTTAAACTATAAGAAAAAGCAAAGTCGCTTCCTACGTCAAAGTTCAACGGACGTTTTGCTGGATTTTAAACGAATATTTCAACATGAGTAAAGTTTAAAATATAAGAAAATAGCAAAGTCGCTTCCTACGTCAAAAGTTCAACGGACGTTTTGCTGGATTTTAACACGAATATTTCAACATGAGTAAAGTTTAAACTATAAGAAAATAGCAAAGTCGCTTCCTACGTCAAAAGTTCAACGGACGTTTTGCTGGATTTTAACACGAATATTTCAACATGAGTAAAGTTTAAACTATAAGAAAAGCAAAGTCGCTTCCTACGTCAAAAGTTCAACGGACGTTTTGCTGGATTTTAACACGAATATTTCAACATGAGTAAAGTTTAAAATATAAGAAATAGCAAAGTCGCTTCCTACGTCAAAAGTTCAACGGACGTTTTGCTGGATTTTAACACGAATATTTCAACATGAGTAAAGTTTAAACTATAAGAAAATAGCAAAGTCGCTTCCTACGTCAAAAGTTCAACGGACGTTTTGCTGGATTTTAACACGAATATTTCAACATGAGTAAAGTTTAAACTATAAGAAAATAGCAAAGTCGCTTCCTACGTCAAAAGTTCAACGGACGTTTTGCTGGATTTTAACACGAATATTTCAACATGAGTAAAGTTTAAACTATAAGAAAATAGCAAAGTCGCTTCCTACGTCAAAAGTTCAACGGACGTTTTGCTGGATTTTAACACGAATATTTCAACATGAGTAAAGTTTAAACTATAAGAAAAAGCAAAGTCGCTACCTACGTCAAAAGTTCAACGGACGTTTTGCTGGATTTTAATAATATTATTTCAACATGAGTAAAGTTTAAACTATAAGAAAAGCAAAGTCGCTTCCTACGTCAAAAGTTCAACGGACGTTTTGCTGGATTTTAACACGAATATTTCAACATGAGTAAAGTTTAAACTATAAGAAAATAGCAAAGTCGCTTCCTACGTCAAAAGTTCAACGGACGTTTTGCTGGATTTTAAAACGAATATTTCAACATGAGTAAAGTTTAAACTATAAGAAAATAGCAAAGTCGCTTCCTACGTCAAAAGTTCAACGGACGTTTTGCTGGATTTTAACACGAATATTTCAACATGAGTAAAGTTTAAACTATAAGAAAATAGCAAAGTCGCTTCCTACGTCAAAAGTTCAACGGACGTTTTGCTGGATTTTAACACGAATATTTCAACATGAGTAAAGTTTAAACTATAAGAAAAAGCAAAGTCGCTTCCTACGTCAAAAGTTCAACGGACGTTTTGCTGGATTTTAACACGAATATTTCAACATGAGTAAAGTTTAAACTATAAGAAAATAGCAAAGTCGCTTCCTACGTCAAAAGTTCAACGGACGTTTTGCTGGATTTTAACACGAATATTTCAACATGAGTAAAGTTTAAACTATAAGAAAAAGCAAAGTCGCTTCCTACGTCAAAAGTTCAACGGACGTTTTGCTGGATTTTAACACGAATATTTCAACATGAGTAAAGTTTAAACTATAAGAAAATAGCAAAGTCGCTTCCTACGTCAAAAGTTCAACGGACGTTTTGCTGGATTTTAACACGAATATTTCAACATGAGTAAAGTTTAAACTATAAGAAATAGCAAAGTCGCTTCCTACGTCAAAAGTTCAACGGACGTTTTGCTGGATTTTAACACGAATATTTCAACATGAGTAAAGTTTAAACTATAAGAAAATAGCAAAGTCGCTTCCTACGTCAAAAGTTCAACGGACGTTTTGCTGGATTTTAACACGAATATTTCAACATGAGTAAAGTTTAAACTATAAGAAAAAGCAAAGTCGCTTCCTACGTCAAAAGTTCAACGGACGTTTTGCTGGATTTTAACACGAATATTTCAACATGAGTAAAGTTTAAACTATAAGAAAATAGCAAAGTCGCTTCCTACGTCAAAAGTTCAACGGACGTTTTGCTGGATTTTAACACGAATATTTCAACATGAGTAAAGTTTAAACTATAAGAAAATAGCAAAGTCGCTTCCTACGTCAAAAGTTCAACGGACGTTTTGCTGGATTTTAACACGAATATTTCAACATGAGTAAAGTTTAAACTATAAGAAAATAGCAAAGTCGCTTCCTACGTCAAAAGTTCAACGGACGTTTTGCTGGATTTTAACACGAATATTTCAACATGAGTAAAGTTTAAACTATAAGAAAATAGCAAAGTCGCTTCCTACGTCAAAAGTTCAACGGACGTTTTGCTGGATTTTAACACGAATATTTCAACATGAGTAAAGTTTAAACTATAAGAAAAAGCAAAGTCGCTTCCTACGTCAAAAGTTCAACGGACGTTTTGCTGGATTTTAACACGAATATTTCAACATGAGTAAAGTTTAAACTATAAGAAAATAGCAAAGTCGCTTCCTACCAAAAAAGTTCAACGGACGTTTTGCTGGATTTTAACACGAATATTTCAACATGAGTAAAGTTTAAACTATAAGAAAATAGCAAAGTCGCTTCCTACGTCAAAAGTTCAACGGACGTTTTGCTGGATTTTAACACGAATATTTCAACATGAGTAAAGTTTAAACTATAAGAAAATAGCAAAGTCGCTTCCTACGTCAAAAGTTCAACGGACGTTTTGCTGGATTTTAACACGAATATTTCAACATGAGTAAAGTTTAAACTATAAGAAAATAGCAAAGTCGCTTCCTACGTCAAAAGTTCAACGGACGTTTTGCTGGATTTTAACACGAATATTTCAACATGAGTAAAGTTTAAACTATAAGAAAAAGCAAAGTCGCTTCCTACGTCAAAAGTTCAACGGACGTTTTGCTGGATTTTAACACGAATATTTCAACATGAGTAAAGTTTAAACTATAAGAAAATAGCAAAGTCGCTTCCTACCAAAAAAGTTCAACGGACGTTTTGCTGGATTTTAACACGAATATTTCAACATGAGTAAAGTTTAAACTATAAGAAAATAGCAAAGTCGCTTCCTACGTCAAAAGTTCAACGGACGTTTTGCTGGATTTTAACACGAATATTTCAACATGAGTAAAGTTTAAACTATAAGAAAATAGCAAAGTCGCTTCCTACGTCAAAAGTTCAACGGACGTTTTGCTGGATTTTAACACGAATATTTCAACATGAGTAAAGTTTAAACTATAAGAAAAAGCAAAGTCGCTCCTACGTCAAAAGTTCAACGGACGTTTTGCTGGATTTTAACACGAATATTTCAACATGAGTAAAGTTTAAACTATAAGAAAATAGCAAAGTCGCTTCCTACGTCAAAAGTTCAACGGACGTTTTGCTGGATTTTAACACGAATATTTCAACATGAGTAAAGTTTAAACTATAAGAAAATAGCAAAGTCGCTTCCTACGTCAAAAGTTCAACGGACGTTTTGCTGGATTTTAACACGAATATTTCAACATGAGTAAAGTTTAAACTATAAGAAAATAGCAAAGTCGCTTCCTACGTCAAAAGTTCAACGGACGTTTTGCTGGATTTTAACACGAATATTTCAACATGAGTAAAGTTTAAACTATAAGAAAATAGCAAAGTCGCTTCCTACGTCAAAAGTTCAACGGACGTTTTGCTGGATTTTAACACGAATATTTCAACATGAGTAAAGTTTAAACTATAAGAAAAAGCAAAGTCGCTTCCTACGTCAAAAGTTCAACGGACGTTTTGCTGGATTTTAACACGAATATTTCAACATGAGTAAAGTTTAAACTATAAGAAAATAGCAAAGTCGCTTCCTACCAAAAAAGTTCAACGGACGTTTTGCTGGATTTTAACACGAATATTTCAACATGAGTAAAGTTTAAACTATAAGAAAATAGCAAAGTCGCTTCCTACGTCAAAAGTTCAACGGACGTTTTGCTGGATTTTAACACGAATATTTCAACATGAGTAAAGTTTAAACTATAAGAAAATAGCAAAGTCGCTTCCTACGTCAAAAGTTCAACGGACGTTTTGCTGGATTTTAACACGAATATTTCAACATGAGTAAAGTTTAAACTATAAGAAAATAGCAAAGTCGCTTCCTACGTCAAAGTTCAACGGACGTTTTGCTGGATTTTAACACGAATATTTCAACATGAGTAAAGTTTAAACTATAAGAAAATAGCAAAGTCGCTTCCTACGTCAAAAGTTCAACGGACGTTTTGCTGGATTTTAACACGAATATTTCAACATGAGTAAAGTTTAAACTATAAGAAAATAGCAAAGTCGCTTCCTACGTCAAAAGTTCAACGGACGTTTTGCTGGATTTTAACACGAATATTTCAACATGAGTAAAGTTTAAACTATAAGAAAAAGCAAAGTCGCTACCTACGTCAAAAGTTCAACGGACGTTTTGCTGGATTTTAACACGAATATTTCAACATGAGTAAAGTTTAAACTATAAGAAAATAGCAAAGTCGCTTCCTACGTCAAAAGTTCAACGGACGTTTTGCTGGATTTTAACACGAATATTTCAACATGAGTAAAGTTTAAACTATAAGAAAAAGCAAAGTCGCTTCCTACGTCAAAAGTTCAACGGACGTTTTGCTGGATTTTAACACGAATATTTCAACATGAGTAAAGTTTAAACTATAAGAAAAAAGCAAAGTCGCTACCTACGTCAAAAGTTCAACGGACGTTTTGCTGGATTTTAACACGAATATTTCAACATGAATAAAGTTTAAACTATAAGAAAATAGCAAAGTCGCTCCCTACGTCAAAAGTTCAACGGACGTTTTGCTGGAAGAAGTAAATAATATGGATTATTCCTACCCACTAACCACTAACAGACTCACGTTACACTGAAATATGACGTAAAGAAATAAGAATGTCGATGTTTGTTAAAACTAAATAACTTTTTCACAATATGCGTACGTATGTAGCTACATCCTTAACCAACTGTACCTGAGTTTTTAAAACTTCTATAAGATCATCCTTTTCTTCAATAGTAACACGAAATGAATCAGCAATATGCATTTTTGCCTTTTTTCAAGTTCAATTGTCTAAAAGCGATAAAAAATCTTCAATTTATCTCAAAATATCAATACATCACGGTAAAAAAAAACCTGAGAAAGAAATTTCATTATTTATAATTTTACGATCAACGTAAAATGAATTCTTAGAATATTTTAAAAACGAAATTATATACTGACCTCTTTCAATTCTGAGATTTTCCTGATTTGTTTGTCTTGATTTTGAGTAAGATTATTCTAGAAGATAGCAAAATCAATCATAATAGTGTTGTAAACCCGTCACATTGTAGGTACTTGTATCTTCCATAGCAAATTAAGTAATTAGACTTTCAAATTCAATAATGGAATAACACAACTTATGTGAGGTGCATACTTAGAAAAAGTTGATGTGTTACTCATATTTTCTCCAAATTTGCACTGTTTGTTGTTATTGTACCACAATATTAGCTTCTTGCATGAACGGTTGCAAGAATTTCCAAAAAAAATTTTTAAATTTGTTCAGCATAGGTAAAAGAAACTGCACTCACACCATTGTTCAGTTGTAAATTGAGTTAAGATTAAAAAAAATCTGTTAAACGTCTATCGAATTCTAGTTTGTTAAAGAGGATTTAGATAAAATAATAAGTATAGACACACACATGAAATAAAAAATTTGAATACCTGAAGCTTTTTATACACATGAAGTAAAAAATTTGAATATCTGAAGCTTTTTACACACATGAAGTAAAAATTTGAATACCTGAATTCATTTTCTTTTGCAAATTTTATAAGCATCAAAAACCAAAAACAAAATCAAAAATCTCATGTGTTACCACATTTGCACTGGTGAACTTAGGACAGCACCACTTAATTAAATAACTGTAGCATTTTTAACAGGGGGAAGCATTCTGGACAGATCAAGGCATTTGTGAGGATGAATCATTCATGTATTATCATACTGTTGACTTTCAAAGATTAAGTACAGTAATGTAACATGCTTTGTTCACAGGGATTTTTACAGATCAATATTTAATAGAGAAACTTGTGATAATAATCTAACCTCAGAAAACTTTGTTTTATAACGGGTTAAAGCTTTTTCTTGTTTTCTTGCAAGCTATAAAAGTTCTTCTTTTGTTGCAGCATCATACTTCTTTTCAGACTCAGAATCATCAGACTTGTAGTCAGATTTAGGACTTTGTGGCACAGAAAACTGATGTTGCAGTGGTGTTGTTGTTACAGTAGAAGCAGCTGTTGATGTTGTGGTTGTTGCCACAGCTGTTACTGATGTTGTCACAGTTGTTACTGATGTTGTCACAGCTGTAAATGTTGTATCTTTTGATGATATAGTTGATGTTGCTGTAGTAGCTTCACTTGAATTTTCAGATATGTCTGATTTCTGCTTTGATATTCCATCATTTTGTGCCTGACCAACCAAAAGTTGCACAATATGTAATTTTAACTTGGTATCAAAAATAGTGTAAGTTTTAATCAACAATGCTAAGTTCAAGGTTGCTAAAAAGAAATAAATGCAATCATTATATTTATAGAAATGAGATAAGAATGATGTCAAAGATAGTGTTAATATTTCTCGTCCATTGGTTGGTTCGTGTAATCAATTTATAACATTTTTCACAAGATAGGCAAAAACTTATTTATGACATTAAACAGCACATTTTGAAGCTATCATTGCTTATGTACAATGTGTTTAGACAGATATGCTTGAATGCTTATGAAAAACATATAAAAATAAATTCAATGCTCAATTATTATTTTTACTACATGATGCATATAACTTAAGTAAATATTGGAAAAAATTTCAAAAAGCCTTTATTGTTTGGGTTGTGCAATTTTTAGAATAATAAAAATTCAAAAATATACAAATTAAAAGAAATAGAACAAATAAAAATGTTGGATAGTGCCACGTATGCTATGAACGTATTTACACTTTTATTTTAAAATGTCAACAAAATTCTATCATTTCACTTTCACTTTAAGCAAGGATTAACACGTACAGAGCAAGACTATTGGTATTTTGAATTTACCTCAAGAAGATGTTGAACTCGTGCGATTACATGTTGGGATGATGTGGTATTGTTGTGATCATCTTCGACCTTTGAAGATTTTACTACTGTGAAGGTACCACAGGATTCATCCTGACAATCATCCTAACATTCATCCTTACATTCACCACAGGATTCACCACAACATTCAAAATTAGCATAAAGTGTGAAGTTGACACCACATTCAATTTAGTACCATTAAATAATATCAGTTTCAGAAACAAAATAGAAAAAACCGTATTTTTTGCTACAAAAAAGCAAAAGATGCACACGTGTTTGGTGCCGTTGTAAAGACCAAGTTATTTAGACAAGGATTATACTATTTTTATTTTGGTCGAAAGTCTTGGAGCAAATCTACAGCCTTTTAAAGACTACTTCCGCTTTTGTCTCTTTACGTTAAATAATTGCGCGATGTTTACAATGCATAAATGTTGACATCTAAAAAGGCCTAATTTTCAAGAAATAAACACGCTGGAAAATACTTGTGTTTGGTAACATCCGAAAGTACGTTTTCTGAGGATTTCAAATATATCTTTACTTTTGAGGCTCAAATTCGTGGAGCGAATCTACAGCCTTGCAAAGTCGACTGTGAAGGTACCACAGGATTCAAGATAGTACGGTTTTTATACGGTAAACACGCTACAATTTACTTGTGTTTAGTATTGTCTTAAAGATCTTGTTCTGAGGATTACAAATATGTCTTTATTATTGTGGCCGAAATTCCAGGAGCGAATCTACAGCTTGAGAAATGTGGAGACTTTTTGCGTTAATTAATATTCGCGGTACTTAACTGACATGTTTATATATATCTAATTTTGATGAAGTTAACACGCTACAATTTACTTGTGTTTAATATCGTCTTAAAGATCTTGTTCTGAGGATTACAAATATGTCTTTATTATTGTGGCCGAAAGTCCAGGAGCGAATCTACAGCTTGAGAAATGTGGAGACTTTTTGCGTTAATTAATAGGCAAGTTGTCATGTAGCATTATTTCACTAACGTCTAAATATGCCGGATTTTGAACTAGTTGACACGCTGTGATATACTCGTGTTTGGTATCGTCTTAAAGATCTTGTTCTGAGGATTACAAATATGGTTTTATTTTCCTGGCCCAAAGTCGTGGAGCAATTCTGCAGCTTGAGAAAGGTAGAGCATTTTTGCGTTAATTAATATTCGCGGTATTTAACTGACATGTTTATATATACCTAATTTTGAAGACGTTAACACGCTGCAATATACTTATGTTTAGTATCGTCTTAAATATCTTGTTCTGAGGATTACAAATATGGTTTTATTATCTTGGTCCAAATTCGTGAAGCGGTTCTACAGCTTATGAAAGAGTTTGCTTTTTTGGTTTAATTAATTTGTGCGTTATTTAAATTTGATGTAATTATGTCTGATTTTGAAGTAGTGGTAAACACGCTGCAATCATTTTTCATTGGGTACCATTTTAAAGATGTGATTCTGAAGATTGGAAAGATGTCCTGATTATCGTGGCACAAGTTCGAGGAGAGAATCTACGGCTTATGAAAAGAACAACACTTTTGTGCTAATTAATTTGTTGCAATATAATTAGAACATATGTGTCTTATTTATTTCGTCGAATTGTTGAGTTTATGCTAATTTATGCAAACGTCATTTTAAGAATTTCACGGTTTAAAACCTTTGTCGTATCCTGTGTTTGCATCTTTCTTAACTGACCGTTGGATCGTTGATGTAACGGTTTTCCTGTGTTATCGAAGCAATTGTTACTTTTGCGAGAAAAGTTAATTCAGGATTATATTTAAATCTTTTGTGCTCTTCTCGTTTTCGTGTGACGCTAAATGAAGAAGGTACGTTATCGCTTCTTCTTGTCTTACGGTCGTTCATGTCTTTTATCATTCACTGCATTTGTTTGTGCTTTTCAGCCCACTGTTGGTCGTCCACCGAAATACACGTTTGACGTGGATGCAATTGCTGCAGCCATGTCAAATGTGTCTGGCGACCGACACTCTTACAGGGAGACAAACAGCTTCTGGGGGAACATCCTTAAAAAACTTGGGATGACAAACAAACTTCTTGCGAGGAAGAATTTGTATGTTCGCTGGCATGAAGATAGGAATGGGTTGCGATCTGACATCGAGGAGATACGCAAAGGATATTTAATTTCATGTATTGATCATTCGTTTGACAGTAAACGGTTTATGAGTTTTGTGCGGTTTGAAAATTATCTTAAACTTTCTGATTGGTTGTTTGTGTAAAGATTACGAATTAATTATTTTTCAAAACGTAATGACCGTTTGAATATTTGTGATATCTTCTGCGCATGCGCTGATAAATAACCGATGTTTGTGCTTGAGAATTATTCAAAGCGAAAGCAAGGCCAAAAATTTTCTGCGAACTTAAATTAAAATGCAATTTGTCATTTGAGTTATTAGGATTGTTGTATTTTTGCTGTATTTGATACGTCGCTCGCTCAGTGCTTTGCGATCGAAAATTTATAGCATTTTGTACTTCGTGATGTTATCAATACAACAAAGATATAATTCATCGATATATAGTTACATTATATGAAGCGTTAATCCTCACTTAAAGACGAAATAAAAATTACAGCGTGCTTACTTCTTGAAAGTTAGGCTTTTTAGATGTCAACATTTATGCATTGTAAACATCGCGCAATTAATTAACGTAAAGAGACAAAAGCGGAAGTAGTCTTTAAAAGGCTGTAGATTTGCTCCAAGACTTTCGACCAAAATAAAAATAGTATAATCCTTTTCTAAACAACTTGGTCTTTACAACGGCACCAAACACGTGTGCATTTTTTGTTTTTTTTTGTAACAAAAAATACGGTATTTTTTTGTTTCTGAAACTAATGTTATTTAATAATATTAAAATGAAAGTGGTGTCAACTTCACACTTTATGCTAATTTTGAATGTTGTTGTGAATCCTGTGGTGAATGTCAGGATGAAAATATCAGGATGAATCCTGTGGTACCTTCACAGTAGTGTGTAAAATAGGGGGTATATGTTGCTGTGTAGGTGAAAAGTAGGAGAAACAAGGAAAATCATCGTAGGGGGGGAGGTAGGGGGAAAATAAAGTTTTGGTAGGTGAAATGTGCATACACAAAGTGGCAGCACTGCACAGTTGGCAAAAATGACTTCTCGAAGATTGTAAAAACACGCGAGATGAATATAATTTTGGCGAAATTGTACAAATTTTTCTGAATAATGTTTAAAACGTTAAAACAAAAAATAGAAAGTGAATCAGAAGGAGAGCAGAGTCCTGTATCTAAGAGTGAAAAGTTAAATCGTCGTTCAAATGAGGTTAGCTATTTTCTAATCAACATACAGTATTGGATATAGATCAACAAACTTCGATGAGTTTGATGATACAGTTTTGAATATTTTTTCTTATTAAAACCGTAACCAGTACAATCATATTGCGATGTAACGCAAATTCTATAACATATTATTTAAAGAGAACCTCCTCTGTGTTGAAAAACGACAACGTCTCTGGCAACCAGAGTGATGTAAAATCTTCAAAGGTCGAAGATGATCACAACAATACCACATCATCCCAACATGTAATCGCACGAGTTCAACATCTTCTTGAGGTAAATTCAAAATACCAATAGTCTTGCTCTGTACATGTTAATCCTTGCTTAAAGTGAAAGTGAAATGATAGAATTTTGTTGACATTTTAAAATAAAAGTATAAATACGTTCATAGCATACGTGGCACTATCCAACATTTTTATTTGTTCTCCTATTTGTTTTAATTTGTATATTTTTGAATTTTTATTATTCTAAAAATTGCACAACCCAAACAATAAAGGCTTTTTGAAATTTTTTCCAGTATTTACTTAAGTTATATAGAGTTATATAGAGTTATATATAGAGTTATATAGAGTTATAGAGTTATATAGAGTTATAAGTTATTCCAGTATTTACTTAAGTTATATAGAGTTATATAGAGTTACTTAGTAGAGAGAGTGTTTGAAAGAAGGTTGAGGGAAGTTGTTCGGATGGGGGAAGAGCAGTATGGATTCATACCGGGGAGAGGAACGACGGATGCGTGTTTTGTGTTGAGGCAGCTGCAGGAGAAATTTTTGGAGAAGGACAGAGAATTGTATATGGTGTTTGTAGATTTGGAGAAGGCGTTTGATAGAGTTCCGAGAAAGGTGATCGAGTACGCGCTGCGTAAGAAAGGTGTGACAGAGAATATGGTTCGGGCAGTTATGGAGACTTATGAAGGTGTAGAGGCGGTGGTTACGGAGGAAGGTGCTAGATCTGGTGTTTTTGAGGTAAAAGTTGGTGTTCATCAAGGTTCAGTCTTGTCGCCGTTACTGTTTGCTTGTGTGATGGATGTACTGACAGAGGAAGTGAGAAGAAAAGAAGGATGCTGGTGTTTGTTGTATGCAGATGACATTGTCTTGGTGGCGGAGTCGAAGCAGAAAGTTCTGGAATGGTACCGAGAATGGAAAACGGCAATAGAAGTCAAGGGACTGAAAGTGAATGAGGCAAAGACGAAGGGCATGAGATGCTCGAGGCAGGTGGAGGTGAAGGACAGTGATAAATGGCCATGTGGTGTGTGGAAAAGAGTTGGAGTGAATTCGATAATGTGTGGGAAATGCGGTAAGTGGGTTCATGGAAGATGTTCAGGTGTCCGTGGTGCATTGACAAGAGTAACTGATTTTGAGTGCGGGACGTGTCGAAGTGGTGGGCGAGTCGCGATTGAACGGTTTGAACTGGGTGACGTGAGTTTGGAAGGTGTATCGGAGTTTAAATATCTGGGCGATGTGTTAAATGATGGTGGAGGGTGCGAGCAAGCGGTGAGGAACAGAGTTCAAGCAGCGTGGTGGAGTTTTAGAGAGTTGTCGGGAATGTTGTGCGGAAAGTCGACTTCGTTGAAGCAGAAGGGAGAATTGTATAAGGCATGTGTTAGAAGTGTTTTGGGATATGGAGCAGAGTGTTGGGCGCCGAAAGCAGAGGACCTGAGAAGATTGGCGTCGACGGAAAGGAGAATGCTTAGGATGATGTGTGGTGTAACGTTGATGGATAGGATTCGAAGTGAAGAGATTAGAAAGAGTTGGTGTTGAGTGTATCGAGAATTGGGTAAGACGCCAGCGTTTGAGGTGGTTTGGGCATGTGGAAAGGAGGGAAGAAAGTGCTGAAATTCGTAGAACGTTGCATATGAATGTTGATGGAGTCCGCAAACGAGGTAGACCGAGAAAGAGATGGATGGATGCTGTGAACAGTGATATGAAGGCGATGGGTATAACGAGAGATATGGCGAGAGATAGAGATGTGTGGCGTGGAAAAATTCATGGACCGGTCAACCCCCCTGGCGGGGATTAATACTGGCCGGTATATAAATGTTGTTTGTTTGTTTGTTTGTATTTACTTAAGTTATATGCATCATGTAGTAAAAATAATCATTGAGCATTTAATTTATTTTTATATGTTTTTCATAAGCATTCTAACATATCTGTCTAAACACATTGTACATAAGCAATGATAGCTTCAAAATATGCTGTTTAATGTCATAAATAAGTTTTTGACTGTCTTGCGAAAAATGTTATGAATTGATTACATGAACCAACCAATGGACAAGAAATATTAACACTATCTTTGACATCATTCTTATCTCGTTTCTTTAAATATAATGATTGCATTTATTTCTTTTTAGCAACCGTGAACTTAGCATTGTTGATTAAAACTTGCACTATTTTTGATACCAACTTAAAATTACATATTGTGCAACTTTAGGTTGGTCGGGCACAAAATGATGGAATATCAAAGCAGAAATCAGACATATCTGAAAATTCAAGTGAAGCTACTACAGCAACATCAACTATATCATCAAAAGATACAACATTTACAGCTGTGACAACATCAGTAACAACTGTGACAACATCAGTAACAGCTGTGACAACAACCACAACATCAACAGCTGCTTCTACTGTAACAACAACACCCCTACAACATCAGTTTTCTGTGCCACAAAGTCCTAAATCTGACTACAAGTCTGATGATTCTGAGTCTGAAAAGAAGTATGATGCTGCAACAAAAGAAGAACTTTTACAGCTTGTAAAAAAAAAGAAAAAGCTTTAACCCGTTATAAAACAAAGTTTTCTGAGGTTAGATTAGTATCACAAGTTTCTCTATTAAATATCGATCTGTAAAAATCCCTGTGAACCAAGCATGTTACTTTACTGTACTTAATCTTTGAAACTCAACAGTATGACGATACATGAATGATTCATCCTCACAAATGCCTTGATCTGTCCAAAATGCTTCCCCCTGTTAAAAATGCTACAATTATTTAATTAAGTGGTGCTGTCCTAGGTTCACCAGTGCAAATGTGGTAACACATGAGATTTTTGATTTTGTTTTAGGTTGTTGATGCTTATAAAAATTTGCAAAAAGAAAATGAAAAGCTTCAGGTATTCAAATTTTTTACTTCATGTGTGTAAAAAGCTTCAGATATTCAAATTTTTTACTTCATGTGTATAAAAAGCTTCAGGTATTCAAATTTTTTATTTCATGTGTGTGTCTATACTTATTATTTTATCTAAATCCTCTTTAACAAACTAGAATTCGATAGACGTTTAACAGATTTTTTTTTATCTTAACTCAATTTACAACTGAACAATGGTGTGAGTGAAATTTCTTTTACCTATGCTAAACAAATT